CAACGCCCTGACCAGGCCGGCTCCCGGCAACGATCTGTATTGGAAACCCGCGCGCACGCGCCGAAAAGGCAGCTGATCTCCAAGGTCAACACTGCCGGCTGGTGCTCCGATGTGGGGGCGAAGTCTACGTGAGCGGATAAACACCAATCAAAATGGCGTATTGTTTCGCTGACGGGAACTGCTACTACCATTCCAACATAAGCGGACAAGCAGGGCTTTAATACATTTAGTTGCTGGCCCTGTATCGCCTACATTTGAGCACTCACTCATACGAGAGATGTGAAAACATAATATTACTTGCGAACAAAAGCGTATACAGAAAATTCGCATGATTCATGATATTGGAGTAGTTGATGTTTGCCGGGAAACAATTGTAACGAAAATCTTCACGCGCAAAAAAACTGCAAGGAAAAAGGCTGTTTGCATGCCCCCTTTAACAATATGCTGCAATGTGGTATGTTGTATGCCGATGTTTGTACGCAATTGTTCCTTATGGATGCGGTCCAGGGGCAAAGATCCTCAAAATGAGTGCGGGGGGGGGGGGCGGGGGGCGGCTGGACAATGATAAAAACTACTCGAACTGCCCTAAATCCGCCAACAAAGGGGTTCCTTTCCGGATTCGGCCCATTTTCTTCCCAGACTTTGCGGGTCTGAAGCCAAAGTTGGGAGACTGAAGCAAGTGATGGATCTCAAAGGGGGAGGGGGGCACGGAACCATGCCCCCTACCTTTAATCCCGAAGGACCCCATAGGCTCCGAAGGGGCTCCGAACGGACACACATTTGTAACGCACGTCTTTGGCCTCCGAGCTACCAAAAGCAATCAAGCGCAAATGAAGAGTCCATGAGCAGAAAAAAATAGTTCTTTGCTAATTGAGACTCTCTTGACCTCTTGAGCTCTATGTTGCGATGCTGACAGAAAAATGAGTGACCGCCTTTTTACCTCCCATTTACCCGGAGAATTAAGCGGAGTGTTTCTCATTTGAAGATATTGAGGCCATCGTCAGAAGTGATGGCAAAAGCTCACTTGCAGCTATTGAAAGATTTGTAAGCACAAAAGCCCGTGTTGACAAATAATTTTAGCATTTAGTAAATATGCTGACTCAAAACATAATCGTTCATTGCGATAGTTCATTGCAGTCGTTTCATTGTGACCCTTTAAGCACGTGGCGTTTAGGCGTCATTTGGCGTAGTCCGCCGAGTGCCGTATAGAGGAGTTCCCTCCTGCTCCAGGCGGAGGAAGGAACGCGGCCGGCGGCCACGTTCCGTGCGATGGAACGCGGCCGCCGGAGTTGTGGAGAGGGGGGCGATAACAAAGGGAGGATTCTGAAAGCTACCTGGCGCGGGGACGTACGCTTGGGACGTGCGACGTCCACACTACGGGATAGGTCGGGACGGATTGCGACGGGTTCCTGTGACAAGTGTTAAACACAGAAGCGATTTTGGACGTCCAGTGCGTACCAGTGAGCCGGAGGCGAGACACGGGAACAGCAGAACTTACATATTCTTATGCCCCGGTTGTGACACTATTTTAGGTCATTCGATTCCCACGTATTCCGTTCTAAGCCGTACCACCATCAAACTTACTATACTATATAGAGCAAAACGTGATTCGTGTTTTTGTAGATCGGACCCTTTTATCCTCATTCCTTGATTTATCTTGAATCCTCGATGCCCCGCCTGGTTTGGGGCAGGCTGCATGCATCAGTCACCCGTCGGCCGAGAAGCCCCGTTGGAGTGAAACCCCGGCAGGGCGCCCAGCGCACACCCTCGAGGGGGTGCCTGCGAGGGCTGAGGTTCGGCGGTTTACCTCCCTCCCCGCCCCCCTCCCCCCTCCCCGTCCAGGCACATAAGGTTTCGCCCTACCGTTTATCCATTCTCCTTTCATCCCATGGCCCCGAAATCATGATTCCTGGTCGAAAGGGCTCTAATCCAAACAACCAAACATCCCAATCGTGTTCGATATCCGCCCTTTTAATCCCATTTCTCGCTTCATCCTGCACCCTCGTGACCCCCATTTGTCCAAGGGCAGACCGCATGCACCTTCCACGGGTGGTGCTTATTCTTAAGTTACTCGATGCCTCGTTCTTATGTTTCGGAATGAGGGCGGAGGCTGCAGCATCTTCGCCAAGGGCTTCTAGGCCTCCTAGTGGGGCCCCGTTCGGAAGCCATGCACATGCCCTACAAAAGGACTGCTGCGCAGGCTTAGTCCCGGCGATTGGATCCCCAGGTGCTTGTAGAACCTGCCGTTGTTATCCATTATTGTGTTCTCATAGCTCGGAAATGGCCATGTTCGAGGGACTCTAATTCCAACTAACTAAATAACCAACTGAGTTCAACACTTGCATGGGACGTTGTCACCTAGGTTCAAAGCCAACTGAAGCATGTTGATGCCAGAAAATCGTACTGACGTACGCCATGGTACGAAACGTAATATGTTTTGTAATGTTGGTAATGGTTAATACTCTTGTCTATGGTAATGATAGCAATATTGTTCGTGGCCTTCGCGCTGCACTGGCAATGATGGTGGCAGGATTCGTGTGACGTTTCTATGGCATCAGGATGATCTTGAAATAGTCTGCACAAATTCGCGGGCGTCAGGCTCAGGAACCAAAGATCATGAGCCTTAAAAAGGGCCGGGCTGCGAACTCCACTGAATGATCTTCAAAATGGCTATCTCGGCTCAAAACACCATGGAAATGTAGAACACTCCCTTTAATATTGATCTTTGGAGGTCATTTTGTCCATGGTGGATACCCTGGCGTCATAGTGAGCATGTGACGGTTTTTCATGCTGTAATTTGACGCATCATTAGCGAATTATTGTGTGAACATTGTGTGTCATTGATTCCCTGTAGCCTATGCGGTGACCTATAAAGGTCAGCCTGCGAGAAGAACATATTACTGAAAACGTGGCGAACACATGTCTGTTATTCATATTTCGATTCGGTTCTTACTGACGGACAGATGCGTAACCGGTTTTTTACTACTAGATGCCTGAAGGTTTCATGGTGAGCTTTAGAGGTGACGTGGACAATGATGCGAGTGCCGAACGCTGTGGTGCGTACCCGGCCATATTCATATTTGGACTCCACGCATAAATGACTGCGTTGTGCGTGGCCACGTTTTCGGGCGCATATGAATGTGAACGCGATTAGGAATATGCTGCTAAAAATTGTGACGTCATTTTCCGAGGGCGCCCGGCCGGCCCGCCATGGACTCGGAAAATTTTGGGTGGGGATTGCAGAGGAGCCATACTCATGTTTCCTAATGGAATTGACGCTGACGCCATAACCTGCCATCACTCTTCTCTGCGACAATGGTTTCGGCCAGATTATCAAAAGCTGAACACGTTCGAATGGCTCCTTGGACGTTCAGAGCATCCTGTTTTACCACCACGGTCTTAAAAAAGCAAAATATTCCGGCAGTTGGCATTCATGAGCAAATTTATGCTCGGTAAAATTTGGGAAGAATGTAAAATAACTCGGCACTTGATGCATTCATTGACCGCGTGCGCCCTAACGGATATGCAGGTAAACTTACAGGGGCTTAGTCTCATTGTGCAATGATTTCACAACCGCAAAACTTGTTTCTTCTGGAGGCCAGCAAAACGACGACGCATGGCCGACGCATTCGCACGTGAAATGATCTCGACAGCGCTGTTTCACCGGTTTTTGCAGGCGTTGCATGTGCGTCCTTGCAAAATGCGCGGAAGAGATGGTGTTGAGTCCATCCTTTACACGCATCACCACTGATGGCATCCTGGCCGTCTGGACCGCTCGGCGAGCCACCGGGCCGAGCCGGACCTCGCTCTGCCCGGCCTCCCCGGCCCAGACCGAGGACACCCGCCGGCGCCGAGGCCGCCGCGCACGGGTCACGTGACCTGGGTCAGCCCATGACCCGAGCGGGAGGTGTCGCGCACCGCTGGTGTGCCGACATTCTTGCCCTGATCTTTGCCCACGGCGTCACATGAACAGGAGCTCCAGGGACAGGACCCCAGGGGCATGAGCCCCCTGGCGTAGTAGGATCCCCAGCGTACACCAAGCCACGCCCACCTTCGTAATTAGCTGTTAGCTCCCCGCCAGCAGCTCACATTCAAAGAAGCGTTGATAATCGGTCTGCGAGGGTGCATGTGTACAGGTGGCGCGGCCACACTGAGCACTACCGTCCCCCACATTGTTCTACTGTAGGTTTGGCCACCGTGTTTCAGAGACCGTCCTTACCTTACGTCACGCACTTCTAGTCATTTTCAACGCCCTCCATCCCGGTTTCCGCTGTCCGAAGCCTCCCTCACGCAGCCAGCGGCCTTCTTGGGGAAGGCTGAGGAAAGTTTCAGAAATCCCAACCCATCCAACCCATCCAACCCAACCCATCCAACCAATTCCAGCCTTCCTCAACCGAATTGGAAAACGCCGGGAGTTTCCAAAGCCTTTCCCGATCTAGCCACTGCCATCGGTCATCCAATGGGGAGACTCGATATTTTTCTAAGCGACCCCATCCCTCAAATTTGGGTTGGGGAAGCCATTTCTCAGCGCGCAATCTCCATTAATTAGAGCGTAATGTGCAGCTCGCGGAGTATTCCAGACACCACGAGAAACGGACCAGAACAGGTTGGGAATCCCAATCAAGCGCCTTGCTTTCCGCATGGACCCTAAGCATTCCCCAACAGGACAAGTTGGGGAATTATCGGGATATTCCGGTTGGAATCAGACCAAAATTTTGCGCTGCGAATCTGGTCACACCGTGTAGAAGTGTAACGTCCCAAAAAGTAAAAGTCGTTAGGCCACATTTAAACAAGAGGAGTGGAACAAAAAAAAGTGGGCGTGCTGGTTGTTATGAATGGAAGCCAACTGCATCCCGTTTGACGGTTTCAACATATTTTCATATATTTCAGCATGATCACCAACCATAACCGCGGGTGACATAACGCTGACAATGCTCTACTCCCCCTTCTACTCTTCAGTCACGCTCCATCAAAACCTCATTCTCCTCCATGCTTAACGTGAGTGCACCTCCATGCCATGCTTAACCACGACCACCCGGGTGAGCTGGAGCGGCGGTCACCAGTCCTGGCCACCCACACCGGCCCCACACGAGGCACGGCTGTGGGGTCAGTGAGGCGGTCACTAGGTGCGGTTCCGGCCTGCTGGGTGGGGGGGGGGGGGGAGGGGAGGGGACTCCGATAACGCAGCCGCCTGACCACTCCCTGCTCGGCGGAGGTCAGACGCACTGCCGCCCTCGATAAGGGTGAGGAATGTTGATAGGGGACGGCAGGTACACATGGGCGTAGGAACAGGAGGTATCCGGCAGGGTGGACACCCCCTCCCCCCCACACACACATACACTCTTGATGAACACCTAATAATAACGTTACAGTGATAAATGGAAGTAATAGACTCTAAGGCGCGCCCCCGCCCTTGGTACGTTCCTTTTCGGCCTGGCATGCCACTCAACTCGCAAGGAGGGTCGGCACTGTGTATGTCTGTCTGCGCTGTCTGTATGTCGGCATCCTGCTACATGGAGATGCGTGCATTAGATGCGGGAGAAAATAAGCGTTCGAGTGGTGTCTTCAGAATGCATAAACGCGCCTCTAGCCGTTATTTTAAGGAAGTTGGACATAATACAACATCACAACAGTAAAGCGTGTATTATTTGTGATCCAAGCGGCGACCAAAATTATTTATTTAAGGCTTCGGAGCCCCCCGGCAGCTTATTTTCCTCTACTGGCTCACAGATACATATAAGGTTCGAATTGCCTCTCCCCCTTGATGATACACCACCGTGCTAAGATGTTGAAAAATTAACTTGGATGGAAACCTACAGGTGAGTTGAGCATGGCTCAAGGCTCCGCCTGACGACTAAGAAACAAGGCGTGGAGCAACAGGGTCCCGCGGCTGTGCTCAGGTGATTGCTGAGAGGATCAGTCTGCGGA